TTAACTGCATGTCCAATCGGCCTTAAATGGTATCATGAATTGGTTTACAGCTGAGGTGAGAAGGTAAAGGGTTGGTCTGTTTCCATCCTCCCAGGAAAACATCCCTCTTGTATCCCTTCAGTGCAGAATCTGCTACCTGTTTTCTCACTTTAGTATCTAATATAGAATATCTGTACTGATTTTGTACAACGGTATTTAATTTCGTTGGATACAATCCACTGAGTTCTCCCTCCCATTTATCTTTTGGGTTTTTTAATAGTCAGCATGGCTCTTGAGACCAAAGTCTTACATTTGTCCATTCCCTTTGAAAAGGAAAACACAATTCATCCCATAATAAACTGTCAAGGAAGCATAGGGAGAGCTGCCACCTTTGTTATGTTTGTGGAGCTATTGATTGTTTGTAACTTTTAGGAAAATAGGCTATCTATAAAAGGCATATTCGAATACTAGCTATGTTTAGCTTATATTACAGGGTTTGTGCATGTACTATTAGAGTGTAACTGAGAAGCAGTTTTAATTTTATTTGTGTTCTGGTTTCAACATAGCATTCAGTCCCTTGGATGGCACAAATTGGTTTCTTTAAATGCTGGTTTTATTGGCTGTAAGCCCTGCAATGAGTTTGTTGTTTTTTTTTAAGGGAACCTGGAATCCAAATTAAATCTGTCCGTCCGTCCATCCATCCATCCATATGTATGTGTACCTGTGCATTCCTGTAGATTCACACACAAGCAGCAATTCTATGATAGTATTTTAAGAGCTCTTTTGCTGGCTTAAATGAAAAGATGCTGTAAATGCAAGGATTGAAGAGAATTGTGGAGTTTCTTCCTTTTCCTTCCCTCATCTCCAAAAGGCAACAGGAGTGAATTTTCTTATAAGCCTTGGCCTCAAAGCAGAAGCCAACTCAGTCTACAAAGGATTACACCCCTTACCTAGGCAAAGGCCTATTGTGGCTTTTGGTAGCCTTGCCAAGTTACTAAACTCTCCATCTTTACATTTTAAATTAAATGTTATAATATTTACAATTTGATTCAAATCATTCAGTTCTCAAAAGTATTGTTCACTTTGATTTAACCTAAACGGCAAACTGTTCTTCTTTACATTCTCCTGTTCAATACAGTGATATTTTTCCATGTTTAAAACCAGTTGGTGACTGACTGTGATTTAAAGGATAAAGATCTTTGATTTGTCAGAACTGGCTTATCTTGTGAAGGCTTCAACTGGCCAGGATAAAAGCCAAGGGACTAAGATCAGTCTGGCTCTTTACATTAAAAACATCCAGGTTTCAATTGGTTCTCCCCCTCAATGGGAGAGGCTCTCAATCCTTTGCGATGTACCAGCAAATAGTATTGAGTATTTCACGCTTTCTACCATGCTCTGTGACCATTAAATTTGGTGTATGTTTAAGAGATGACTGAACCCTTTAGATCTGCAAGTGTTGATTATTTTTCTAATGTGCCATTGAACTATTGGATTGCTTCTACAAATTGTTCATGTTCAAATTTCCTAAAGAATTTTCTGGCCAAAAAAAAAAAAAAAAAGCCTTGTATATCTTGATGAAGTTCATGGACAACTTGTTCTTAATTGATAGTTTGGTAATTTGAAAAAAAGAAAGAGAGATAGAGATAGAGATGGCACTTCCTAGAAGCAATTTTCATAATTCTTTTGGTCAATTTTTTCTGTATTCTCATTACTTAATATTTTTATTCATATATATACTAGCAATGGTTCAATGCAGAAAGGACCATTCAACCATTCAATGGTGAATGGTTAAAAACTCTATTAATGGTATTTTCCTTTGCCTGCTTAATATTTATTTACATTTCTATTTATTTTCTGCCTCTATATATTTATGTATATGAAAAAGAAAGGAACAAAATGACTTATTTCACATTTTTCAACAAACAGCTTCATATTAAGCAGCTGCTTTTAAATGAAGCCTGTGTATAGAAACAAATCAAGTGTTTTCTATTACCATTTTCCGCATATGCAAAATCCTTTCAAGCCTATTTATCTTCAGAGCAACCCTGCGTCCTGGGTCAGTACTCTCTAATTTTTTTGTACTGGAATTGAGGCTGGGAGGAAGGAACGTGCACACGGTTATAATTATGTGCATAAATGGGATTGAGCTCAGGCTCCAATGGTATCATTCTCCCCAGGCAATTGATATTTGGATATCAGTACCCGATTATAAAATACATATAGCTTCCTAAGTCTTAAGGCTGCACAAAGCCATCCTCTTGAAGCTCATTGTGGTTGCTTGGAGGGCCACCAAGTGTGTGTGTGTGCGTGCACACGCACATGCATGCATGGATGACAATTCTATCAGGTTGGCTGCCAGACCCAAACCTATGTCTAAATACCAGATAATAGGGATTTGGGTTCAAGTCTAGTTTGAGCACACATGGTCTACTGACCTGCATATAGTCATCGCACAACACAACTTCAGTGCAAGCCTCAAAGGGTTTGTAGCATTACACAGAGACAGGGAAGCTCTTGAGTTTTGGCAACAAGTTGACTTTATAGTCCCTTCAGAGATCTAGCTGTGATGCAGTATCTCAGTCCAACATAACATGAGCAGACTTGCATATGCATAGAAGGAATTTCCCTTCTCCTTCTCTCCCTCCTGTTCTCATCCACACACCAAATATTCTCCAGGGAGTCCTCCAGCCATTCAGATCAGATTTGGGGAATATGGAGGAAGAGAAATTTGATTTTCTAGCACTGTTCAGCTAACCTTTGCTGATCTTGAAAGGGGAGTAGGGTTAGATCTAGTTACTGCTATGATGGAAAACACCAAGAAAATCCCAGGACTTAGGCTAGACTGGGCAGTTGAAAAGATATCCTAGAAGAATACAAGAGAAAGCTGTTTATATATTGTTTCTAGGGAAATTATATGGATATATCCATAATTCACCAGGAGATGCACTTAACTATTGTGTGTTCTGCCCATTGAAGGACCCCGTTGCATATCTCCATAAAAGAAATTTATTTATTCAATTTGTTCACCAGCTGACTCCCAATGACTCTGGCTCTCATCAAAAATTTTAAAAAAAACCATGAAAAACTATAAAATAATAGAAACAAGGCTGCAATAAAAGAAGAAGCAACATTGGCAAAACTGGGCAGCAACAAACTTACACCCACACCTCAAAGTGGGCTACACCCATCCCAGCCAAAGGCCTGGGCAGAGCCAGGTTGTCAAGACCCTTCAAAACACCAGTAGGGTAGGAGCCACCTGGTTCTCAGGGGAACTTCATTCCAGAGGGCAGGTGCCATGACAGAGAAGGTGCACTGCTGGGGTCTTAATAGATGGCATTATTGAATCAGATGAATCTGGACCATGCCAACTCTGCTAGATCGAAGTGGCTGGGTAGATACTAGGGGAGATAGGTGGTCCCTCAAGTAGCCAGGACCTATGCCATGTAGGGTAACAACCAGAACTTTGAATTGCACCCAGAAGCAAATCAGCAACCATTGTAGCTTGTGGAGCAGAGGTGTTACATGGACATACTGAGGCATACCCATAACTGCCTGCACTGCCATATTTCAGACCAGTTGAAGTTTCCAGCTAGTCTTTAAGGGCAGCTCCACACAGAGTGCATTGCAATAGTCGAACTGCAACTGTCAAAGACTATCCAAATTTTGTCTGAAATGAGCTTTTCCCCCCCCCACTCTGGATGTACAAAAACATGCAGAAGAGATGAAGTGGGGGGAAATTCTTCTTCCTAGGCTTGATTTATTGACATAAATTTACTTAAATATTTCCTCCTCCTCTTCATATGATGTTTTTTGGGGGATTCCTCTCACCATGAGGTTGATGTACAATAGAGTGGATTGAAGACTATAATTTTAAGAATGTACCTTTCCACAGGCAGGTTTTTATTTGCATATGAAGATGTGCTTAACATGGCAGTCAGGCAGAGAATAAGTGAGATAAAAGGAAGAATAACACTGAGTCATCTCTCAGCCCTGGCATAACAACGCTGTGCCATCCCTGAGTTAGATCCAAAGGTGAAGCCCTGAAAAACTGTAGTAGTTTTTGAATCACGTTAAGATGCTCTTTGCCCAAAATTGTATAGACCTCCCTCATGCCATATCGCTTAAAATGAAAAGTTAAAAAGGATATATAAATGGAGGCTGCTCAGTTCTTACTCATTCGGTTCATGCTTCCACTTTTTAGCTTAACTCTAGGATTGCACAAATTCATTATAAGTAGCCCAGAGAACTTTTCTGGCATTAACTATAGTTTTTTGAACTCTGTTCAGTGATTGATAATTATGTTTCATCCTTTCAAAGATTAATCAATGTTATTAAACCTACTATCTCTGGATTCATTAAAATGCATGTTATTGCTAACAAACATAAGGTTAAAAATAGGACTGTGGCTCCATTTTCTGGTATATAATGATATATTTTTAAAAGATAATCCATTTTTCCCCTAAACCTTTGCAGAGATCTGTTGTGATTCCAGATATGCTCTGTATATATTTTCATGATTGCAAAATGCCAAAATTACTTAAACATAATGATACAACATGGCTATTTGCCATCAAAAACATTATAATCATGAAGCAGGTTTACCAAAGCAACATTGAACTCCTTTATGATGAATCTCAAAGAGAAAGCAGGATCCTATTTTGTATAGGCATGAACTAAGAATTTTAAGAATGTACTCTTTTCTCCAGCCAGTCAGTCTTTACCCAGCAACGCTGCTCTTTTCTTTCAATGGGCTGCCAACTCTGATTATTTTTAAAGAGAAAAAAAAATAGGAACAAAATTAAAAATTAATGGGGAATCATTCTCTTTTCAAGGATCTGTTCTGGAAATCTTTGGCACACAAAAGAGGGGGACCGTGTGAACCAGACACAGAAAGGGATCTAGAATCTTCATGTTAGAAAAGGGAGGGGTAATCAAAGCTTTCTGTCCCCCCACCCCAAGTCTTTTATCATTAAAATCTTGTTCTAACAGCCAAATCCTTCTTTTTCATGTGTATTGGAAAGCAGCTACACCATGTATCAAAGCCATCAGTCCAAGTGAAGGATGGACTACAGGAGGTGCCACTGTCATCATCATAGGAGACAATTTCTTTGATGGGTTACAGGTCATATTCGGCACCATGCTGGTCTGGAGTGAGGTAGGTGTTCTCTGCAAATTAATATCCAGTAACTTTGTCTGGTTTATAGCCTTCTTTCTTTCTTTCTTTCTTTCTTTCTTTCTTTCTTTCTTTCTTTCTTTCTTTCTTTCTTTCTTTCTTTCTTTCTTTCTTTCTGGAAATGTAGTGCAGTAACAAAGGAAATGCTTTCTAATTCCCCACCTATTAAACAACCAGGGCATTAGAGACACCTGTGGCACTCATCAGCTGTCCCTGTTTATATTTATGTCTTTATTTATGAAATCTATCCAATATATTCAAGTTTGAAAAATAGACCTGTGAACATGCCTGCAATGCTGCAAATAATCTAATTAGAAGCAACCGTCAGCCCTGATAAATAAATCACTGATCATTTCCAACATCAGAAACTTGAATGTGAAAATTTTGATGACCATAACATTTTAGTCCTCACCCCCCCTTTTTTTAAATGAGAGACTGACTTTGTATTCTTTCTGTCACTATATTCATATCTTGTTTAATTTTTTCCCCCTTTGCTTGCTCTGTGCAATTTTCCAGTACTTTTTATACCACCTCTTAATGTCCATTTTACAAATTTTGGTATAAATATATGCTCTCATCTATTACTCCATCATGCAATTACTTATTCCAGTTATTGCTGTGATACAAAATGGCAATTTTAGAAGCAACTTTAATGTGTGAGTATACCTATCGCATAAGCCCATCCCACATACACATAACTCAAAATGTACATGATGCAGATGTACAGTAAGTACACTTTATGTCTGCATTCCCCCAAGTATGGAGAACTCAAAAAGGAGAGAAATTATTTCTGATTGCCAATTCTAATCTCTAATGACATGTCTGAAACTCCTGGGTATGGAGATCTTCAGGCATTAGCCATTTATACAGGCAATTCAATTTGGAGGCATGTGGCAGGCATCAAAAGCTATGGATGCTATGGAAAGCTGTGGATGGAAAGCTACGGATGCTATTCTATATGGTATGGAAACTTGTGAAAAAACTAGAATAGGGCTTAAACAGATTAACCAGTGTGGCACACTGTTAGGTGCTACCTCTGAAGTGGCTGAAATGATGCATTGCACATAATGTGCCTTAGGTTCCTTTCCAGGCATATCAAGTTATTTCACCAGAACTATTTGGAGGGTTGCTTTCAGTTATAGTTACACTAGGCTAGATAGGTATGGGCCTGACATCATATACTGTATACAACTTCATATATTCAAAGTCCTGTTCTTAGATAGGACAGTTGCAGAATTATAATCAGTCAGTGAACCAATCAGGTGCCTGTATGTTTGCATCAGCTCTGAAAAATTGAATTATCTGATTTTGTGTTTTATAAGGCCTTTGATGTGTTATTCCATATGGTGGTACATGATACAACTGTACCATCACCTTATTATTAATAATAGTATGTGAATATTTATGAATGATATCCACGCCAAAGCCATTCAATAGTTCTTAGCAATGCATTTGTCACAATGAATATTCATACTTATCTTTCACAGACCTAAGTGCAAACTCCATTTTTAGAAGTGCTTTTAAGGAGCTTTCCCTAAGAAATACACAAACCAATATAAGTTAAAACATCGTCTATTGATTTTTGTGGTAGCAGGATTAAGCCCATAGCATTTTTATTGCTTTTTGATTGAAGAAACCAAACAAGACAAAAATTGCAAAATACAGAATTAGAAAAGGGAAATAAAGATTTATAGCAAGTGCATAGGAGTTTTGTATTTTTGTATGGATATTTGATTTTTGTTAAAATATTATGGCTCATTTTAGAGCGCTTATAAAGATGTGAGCTGTGTAATATCATTATGAATTTGTCTTGAGGTTTGATTGACAGGTAAGGCCTGGTAGCTTGATAAATGCTATTGGCTTTAGAGGGTGCTTCTTTTCGTAGCGTAATCAAGATTCCCCCAAAGTGGCATTTTATTTTGTGAAATGCAGAACGAATAAGAGCTACATCTTAGTTACCTTTATTTCTACATGAGTCTGAGTAATAGTAGATATTATCCTTTGCTTAACATAGCTAGTTGGGACTTCTTTCAAGACAAAGCTAGGCTAGAACAAAAGTATATCTGTCCACATGAGCAAGTAACTTTTGTTAAAATCTCAGAATTTTTAAGACTTTTTTTTCATCTTTCCTGTGTTACAAAAATGATCATTATATGAGATTTAAACGAAAAAGGCCTAGAAATAAATTTCATTCAGTTTTCATTGCAGTCCAGAATGAAAGACAGCCAAATACAATTAAAAAAACTGATGGAAGGAAATTTTAAAATAAAGATCTTCATTCAGAAATAGTGGGTTTTTTTCTGTTGCTATATGCACTGTATAACCAATTTGCAGTGTAAATATTATAATTTTATTTTCTATGTATTCAAGCTTTGTAATTGCAGTATTTATACGCATGAAATTGAAGATGATTATCAAGCCATTTCTCTTAAAATACTATGCTGGTTTGAGCTTCATTAAAGAAAATAGGACTTCTGCTAGCTGAGCATATGGAAGATAGGAGATGCATGTTAAATATGTTGATTTAAAATGATTTTGGACTACATATATATTATTTAAACATACATTTCAGTGATGGGTTCTATAACATAATTGCAACCTTTTTCATTGGGGGGAGTGCATCAAAGTCTAATTTGTCTTGCTAATTGTGTATGGAAACACAGATACTTGAGTTTTCAATCAATCTCCAATTAAACTGTCACAATAAACATGATTTTTTTTAAAAAAATCGCATTTAAAAAAAGAGAACTATGTTCACTTGGTTATACTTTGTATACAAGCAGCCAAGCAGAACAGTATAAACAAATAATTTCATTTCCAAGATTTTTAAAGAATTTAAAGAATATTAGGTTTATACCCCACTTTTATTTCGTGCAACTCAAAGTGCCATGTATAATGCTCCCACCTCCTGTTTTCCCCATCACAGCAACCTCGTGAGTTGGGATGGGCTGAGAGAGAATGACTGACCCAGATCAGCCAGCCAGCTTGAATGCCCAAGGGAAGAAAGGCTAGAACTCACTGTCTCCTAGTTTCTAGTCCAGCACTTTAACACATAAACCAAACTGGCTCTCATATATACATCATATTCAGACATTGGTTGGAACAATCGGTTGTTAAGATGAGAGGGGGCTCTTGCTGCAGAGATGTTATTCCTGTGTGCTTAAAGATATGGAACCTCAAATGACCTTTAATTTTTCTGGCTAATGTGCATGTTTGTGTGATACATCTGCCATCCTGAATCTCTGATTCTGGTTGGTTATATATTTGTATTGTTTGTGTGTGATTAATAAAAAAAAAATGAAATCCATTTTCATATGATGTGACAATGGCTGCTGGCTTGTGTTTTTTGTTTGTTTCAAGTTAGATAAATCATGTAATTATCAAACGAAATCTTCTCCAGGTTCAAAGGCAAATTATGTTTGAATTACAGATGCTACTGACAAACAGTGGGACAAGGTTATTCTTTTATGCCCTCTTTGTTGACTTCATTGAAAGACCTAGTTGGTTATTCTTAGAAACAACGAATGGCCTAGACACTTCCAATAGAGCTCTTATAAGATTCCTGTATTTCAAGCTTGCACAGTAAATTGAAGTTTTTCTTGTAGTTGGGTGATGCATAGGTGATTTCAGTAAAATAAGTAGCCAATATGTGTGGGGTGGGGGGAAACCGAATTGGGACTATGATATAAAAGAGAAAGTTTTATCCCTTTATTCTTTCATTTTCCCCATCAAAATCCTTCCCCATGAGCTCTTGTGTGAGAGACACACAGATGAGTGGTTTCCCCTCAAGATAATGACCGAAAGGAGAACTTATAGGTATATCCAAATAGCCCAAACATGCTTCTGTAGTTTGTTGATGAGTTAGCTGGCATGGAAGCTTCCAGAGGAGGGAGTGCAGCTGCAAAACTGATGATTTATTTAAACTGAGATCTGAATTGGGAGTCTTTCCAGAGCACAGTGGCTATGCTGCTGCTGCTGCTGCTGCTGCTGCTGCTGCTGCTGCTGCTGCTGCTGCTCACAGATTCTGAGATCGTGAAGTTTGGAGCAATCTCAAGAGCATCCAGAACATGATCTGAAGGCACATGATCTCCTGTGTGAGTGGATCAAGATTGCCAGGAAAATCTATGTACACTAGTTTAGCGGAAAGGGAACTAAGTGATAGGTTAACTATAAGGGGACCCGCAAGGAAAAAGGCCTAAGATAATTTATTTTAAAATGTATTCTAATAGTTCACAAGGCTTTGTTTTATTCTGTTTATATGGATTTGTCACTTCTTCCTGATAATTCCAGGTATATGGATTACTTTTGTTCATAAGTTCTTCTTTACATTTAAAAATGGGACCTTCCCCATTTGTAGAACTAAACAATTGTTAGATAAACTATTCAGGAGTGTCAGATTGAACAATTCATAAAGCTTGAGGCCAATTAAGAGCTATACTCTCACAACCCAAAGCCAGTGAAACAATGTTGTAGTTTGTCTGAGAGAGTCAGTTTTTAGCAAGTTTCCAAGAATGCTATTTTTTTTAATATGAGTATAGAGCAATTCTGTCTTTCTTTACACTATAAATATTGCATGATCTGATCATGACACGTATTAGTGTCAACCAACAGGACTAGCTGGGGCATGGTAACTTTCTTATAATAGCCGAAACTAATGTTGACAGTTAGTTATACTTTCATACCTCAAGATAAGTGATACAGAACCAATAATAACAATTTGAAATGCATAACACATGCAACAATAGTCTCAATAATTACAGGTCATAGAATAAAGCTGAAGTGTCAAACAAAGATTAACAATCTGTGTTGTTACAGATAGAAAGACCCACATGTTCAGAATTTTAGAGGCACTTCCTCCTATCTTAAGCATTTAATCCACTGCAATTCCCAAATGAGTTAAGAGAAATTATCTGAAGCAGATGAAGTAATGTTGTAGTAGGATTGTTTATTTAAAAATCTCAAAAGAGAAAGGCTGTTTCTCTAACTTCCTGATACACACACACAGACGCACATATAGACATAATACACATCCACATACTGCAATATTATTTTGTGACTGGACTTATGAAAGTAGTTTATAAGATACAGTATGCAATTAATACTTCAAAAGCTATGTATTTTAAATCACACAAAACCAGAATCATCCCAGATGAAGCAGAACAAGTATCTGAGGTCAACCCTGTGTTTCTCTCTCATTCCCAGAGTACGCTGGACAGAATAATATTACTATATAGCTCTGTGGTTGGAGTAGGAATTATAATTTTGATAAATAGTGATGGACTGTTACAACAAAGAATGTCCTATTATATCACAGATAATGCAGTGAAACAGAATAAAATATATTAAAGTTAAGTACTGTGAAGATACATTGATGTCAGTGAGAAAACATATGTGCTTACCTTTTCCATTATCCTCACTGAAATGTGGAAAGGCTTTACTTTTGCTTGATGGTTTTCTAATAGGACACTCAGATCTGGCATATGATAGGGGAGCAAAATGGAAATCCTTTGGGATTCATTAGTATAAAACTGCAAGTTGGTTCAATCAAAAGTTGTGGTTTGTCACAAGAAATTCTCATACCCAGAAGTAAATGCTTGCCATGTATGAAAACAGAGTTAATATAATTATGTCTGGGGAATGGAACATTTGCAAATATTGTTGTCATTGACTTTCATGCTAGTTACTTCAAGTATACGTTCAAACACTGACAGGTTAATTATATGTTCCAAAGCTTTGTTATGTGATCTGAAAAAATGTGTTATTACATAATTATTCTATATCTAACCAATTTCCTCCATTCTTACAATTTCTTTTAGCTTATTACGCCTCATGCTATCAGAGTTCAGACCCCACCCCGACATATTCCTGGTGTGGTAGAAGTTACATTGTCCTACAAATCCAAGCAGTTCTGCAAAGGTACACCTGGAAGATTTATCTACACAGGTAATGTTGCTTTAATTTAAACAGGGTATTATGGGAAAAGATGCAGTTCAACCACCTTTGGTGGTGTTGCCCCTTTGAGACTATGTATTGTAGTGATAAATATTCCAAATTAATGCAGATTCCCCCAACACAAAGAAACTTTCCCCCTTATTATCACATGACAGTTTTAGTAAGAATTTGTATCCTGTGAAACATCCAACCATGCATTCACTATAGAAGTTTACTGATTATATTCCAATGGGGAGATAACAACACCACAGCCTGACTGAAGAATCAAGTTCACAGTGGGAGGAAAAACATTTTGGTGAACTGGCTCTTAGTCATATTCCTTTTAGAAATGTGAAGGATTGAGAGTCAGGTGAAAGGGATCAGCCCTGTGTTTGTTTTTTATATCTGTTTTCTCTCTTTCCACAAAATAAAGCTCAAGGCAATATGCAGCAGTGATCATACAATTACATACAATTACACAAGTGGAGTCCATTACTATAGAGTCATGTCAGGTTTGATATCTTATTTTTGGAAGGCAGAAAGGTATGTCGTCTAATGAACTGAGAAATTCTTTGGATAGATCATTTGTTCATGTCCAACTTACTACGGGCTGTTATTCTTTGTTGAGTGTCAGGAAGGAGAAGTTCTGAACCTTCATCCAAGTATTCTGTAGATGGTAAGAGTAGGTTTTCTATGCTTATTTCAGCTGTTTTGTGTGTGTTTTCAGAAGCAGAAGTCCATGCCCCTCTCTCAAGTATTTGATAGTATACTTAGAGATTTCCCCCATATACCTTAAGTGCCTGTCTACCCTTTACAAGAAGGAGAGTGACCTTCCTTGGGTTGGTGCCTTACCTTGGTTCTTCAGCATCTAGATGGCCACAGGTGACATCCATAGAAGAATAAAGACATCTCTGGAAAGAGTGGGACAGATTTTTTTTGTTGTTGTGTTTTCCTTTTTGACAAGTTTTAAGAGGAATATAAATGACAGCATGAGGCTTCTAAAAGGCAAATCCCTCCCTTTTCATCAGTTAATCAATCAATCAATCAATCAATCAATCTCAAAACTGCCAAAAATCCTCTCACAGAAAACACAATGCTGTCTTTATTTTTAAAAGAGAGATTTTTTTTCCTGCCAGATTGCAACTGCACAAACTCCAGGTGCTCAACTTCCTGTCAATGGTACTTCACTGTATTGGCAGCATGGGTGTAGAGTTGTCACTCCTCCTGGCAGGAGGGATGGATAAGGAGGCTGCAGTCAAGTAACAGGCATCCTGAAAGCCTTTCACACAGCAAAGAAGAACACACAGCAGTAGAAATGGAGTTTTAGCCATTTTTAGTGCTCTGTGTGGAAAGTTGGAATGCTACCGAGGGTCTTCTAACTGCAGTTAGTATGCTTGTTGAATTGGAGCTTGCAAGAGTCTGATGGCACCAACTGATTTGGCAGTCCAGCCCTAAATGGGACTTGGCCTGAAGTCAAATGTCTTGTCACCTGCCTGATGTTTACACCCATGATTAGCAGGATAGCAAAAAAATAAAAAAAGGTTGAAAGACAGAAACCAGTCAAGGAGAGTTGCAAACTTTTCCAGAGATGAATTTGTATTCTCTGCTCCATCTTTCAATTGACAGGTGCATCTTTAACTTCTCTGGGTTGTTTTAAGTTTTCCTTCATTCAGTTCATTGTCATGATCAGGCAGTGATTCAGAACAGTTTTCATGGATTTTGATGGAATAGACAGAAAACTAGAGATAATGAGCATATTGGTGATTAGAGATGGATGAGAAACGGATTCAATTCTCATTCAATGCAAGTGTGCCACATTTGCTTTTCTCTAACATATATGCAAGGAAAACGACATACAAAAATGTGCATAATGAGGAACATGTAAACAAACAAACAAACATCCTGCCTTGCTTCCTTCTTAAAATTAATACAAAATAGGCCAAGCCAGGAAAAGTAACAAACTGAATAAAATAAGAATTGATAGCTTTCCCCATCCCAAACTCACCTCAGCTCAGAGAACCTCCCTCTATTATGTTTTTGATGTGAAATAACAATAGAAGGAAGATGGATAAATTGAAGCACATAGACCAATGACCAAGGAATTGAACAAAAGTCCTCCAATGCCACTTTCAAAATACCTGTCAGTCCTGGGCACTTAGCTATGCTGGCTGAGGTTATGAGAATTGTACTCCAAAATATTTGTACTCCAAAACTGTACTCCAGAATATTTGGAGAGCTAGCCTGACATTTTCAAAAATTTCAGAGTGTTCCAGCAAAACCTATGGGAAATAATCAGTTTAGATTATTTACCAAAGCGCCTCAAACAGTCTCCATTTCAATAACAGTCCAGAAGCTATGCTTAAATGAATCTAGATGGCTTCCTTATCTAATTTCTCCTGGACTCAAGGTATTTTCAAAGCCCTTGTCCCAAAGATTCAAACCTTGGAAGCTGCTCAGACAGTATATAATACAGGATGTTGTTGCAGGGGGTAGGATGGAGCAGATGCAGCAAATAATGGAATTATACCTATTGTACTGTGTTGTAGAGAGGTCCTCACTACTGACTTTATTCACTTGGCTAGTTCTCCCATTCTTCTCCCACAGTTCTTACAAATCATTAAAGCATGGGTTGAGCATAGATGTAATAGATCCCTTCTCTCCAAGGATGTTTCCCATACTCTCAGGTCATATATATGGAAATTTCCATTATAAGAGATCAAACGGCAGTCAAGAATATGTTTGATTGCACTGACCACCAGGAATAGGAAGATATAGACATTTGGAGGCTATAGAGATACATATGCTCCTTGATCAAGCCACATATATTGATCAAGGCATATATTCACTATAAGCAGACTGATGCAGTACCTATCAATATGAAAACATTTTTCTGAGCATCAGCTTGCTAACACTGAACAATTGAGCTTGACTATGTATTAGAAAAAAGTTTGGCAGCTTTCCTGAGCTATCTCAACTGCATTCACCAGAAGTACAGAGTGATAACACAGTGCTAAACATAAGGAGGATTTTGGAAAGACTGTGTTTGAATTACCTGGCTTCAGGATATCTGCCAGAAATTGCCAAAGACTTATGACCATAGTTTTTCATCACGTTTATGTTTGAGAATAATAGTGAAATTAAAACTTGATCATATGATGCCAGTTCCTACTTACAGTGTAATATTCAGATTTATTCAGAAGTGGGTGCTCAGTGGAGTTTCTTATCAGATAATGTCATATTGTAGTGTGTGTTTCTGCATGTGTGTGTATGTAGGTTGACAGTACCACTGAATGTAATAGGACCTACTCTAAATAGAGGTCCATAGAATTCGAGAGCTTTGATGTGATCTTTGAATGTTTTCTCATTATTTTGTTTTACAAAAACCAATTTGATTGCCATGACTTGTGGACATGGCAAAAATTGGATCAATATCAGCAGTGCTCCAGGGCAAAGCTCCTTCCTTTTAGTTGCAGCCCACTTTCATTTGTTCTTCTTCTGTATCCCATAAGGACACCCCTTTGTGAAAGCTTGTTTGCTGTAGTGTAAAGTACTGTAGTCTTCCCTTCCTTAGCTGGTGTGGATATATCTAGCATTGTACAGATATCAACACACTGAAGAATTTTGATACGTTTTACTTTAACCATGTTCTGTTAAACAGGTACCCATTATCTCCTTATATCTGGCCCAGGTTTATTTAAAAAGACCACTACTCTGATATGCTTTTTACATGAAAGTTGGAGCTGGGATGAGATCTAATATTTCAGTTTAAACTCTTGTTTAACTCAACCCCCTCTTTGCAACACATGCCTATAAAGTGAAGGTGCAGTGTTGGGGGCGGGGGGCAACCCACTGCATTTATCACAGGCAGTGATTTGCATTCCCAGCTCAAACCCTGGTTAGCAGCAAGTCTGTCTCTGGATTACTTCTCTTCTGCATCCAAACTTGCATTTCAGCTTCTCTCAGTCCTAGCTACCCACAATCACTAACCACAGTGGGAGGATATGGAGGGTTTGTGCCTGTGTGTGGGAATTTTGTTATACAATATCTTTGTATATAGAGCACAGAAGTCTCTAGACAATGCACGTTGGATGGTTGCTCTGGTTAAAAAAAAGGAAATTGCTTCTCCCCCTTCCCCGTTTTTCTCTTTCTCTCTTACATACATGTAATAAACACACTTACTTCTCACCTCCAGAAATGCCTCCAAGCCCTTTAAACAAAATGCAGGATTAGAGCAAGCCTGCCGATCAGTTTTAGTTAATTGAAAATTATAGGATTGACCCAAGAGGAAAATTTAGTTTGCACTCCAATCACTATTACAAATTAAGGAAAATTACTACAATTTTGTTTAGCTAAGGTTTCACACTGAGCTCACAAAATTAGCTCAGTTGCCCTGACAAAGTCAGCACTTTGTTAGTGATCAGGAGAAAGAGGGGAATAATAGACTGTGGTGTGTACAAACGAAGCATAGAAAAAGCTATGATGCTTTACAGAACTAGGCCAAGTGGTTTTAATTAGGATTATTAGTTCATTGTAAATTTTGAAGAACAATCAAACTAGCAGATTAGCTGTTTCTTTTAAAGCTAGAATGTCTTGCCATTCATTTTTCCCATGAGAACTTCTTTTAACTCCCACATAGCCCCTCCACCCTGTGAATCTTATTATGGGTCTACAGGAAATGGACCAATTGGAAGTTCTGATACTGTAACATTCCACAATCACATTCCAGTAGATGGGAGTTTTTCCACAGTGTTGTCAGTGAATTCAGTGTTCTGGAACGTTTTATGAAACCACAGAGGCCAAATGTTTTCTCAGAGGAGTTTGGCCTCTGTTTTTGGCTGAAAACAGTGAGACATCACTTGGTGTTTATTTATCCTGCATAAAGAATGAGAAAAGAGAGAAAAGAGGAGAAAGGAAGGAAGGAAGGAAGGAAGGAAAGAAAGAAAGAAAGAAAGAAAGAAAGAAAGAAAGAAAGAAAGAAAGAAAGAAAGAAAGAAAGAAAGAAAGAAAGACTG